TGGTGAAGTCTACACGAAGATGGAAGATCTCGCCGACGAGCTTCCCGAGACGTCGCCTCGATTCATCCTTCTCAGCTACCCGTTGACCTTGGTTCGTTGCCTCCCCCCCTTGGTTTCTGCTGTTGCAGCTCCTCGCGGGTCGCTAATATTGCGTTTTTGGTTCTTGTCTAGTCGTCCGGCCGTCTCACCGTCCCCTATGTGATGCTCTACTACCTCCCCGAGAACTGCAACCCCTCGCTGCGGATGATGTATGCGGGTGCCGTCGAGCTGATGCGCAACACCGCCGAGGTGAACCGTGTGATTGAGGTGGAGAGTGAGGAGGATATTGTGGAGATCGAGGCCAGATTGCAGAGTCAGAACTGAGTTGGCGGTCCGGGGGCGGAGGATGAGGTGTCGGTATATATCATCTTTCGGGCTCTGATCTCCTTCATGGGTCTATAGCCTGTCTTTTCTTTTGGGCTCGTATATCAAGCGCTTTTAATGGTATATTTAGCGGTGTACGCTATTGCTTTTGGGATTGAAATCTGTCGGGCTGAGGTTAGGTTTTGGTTTTGCTGGTGAGTTGCTGGTTTCTATGGTGAGGACTCGGATCATGAGGTTGATATCCTTGTTCCGGAGGGGGTAGATTGTTGCACAGTCACAGTACTGAATCTGTAGAGCTGTCAACCTTGCTCTAAGCGTTGCTGCTAGCTGCAGGTCCGACTCAACCGCCATCCATCCTCCAAGGGAAACAAGAAGGACACTACCAGGACCGAGATCTGGATGCAGATCGCCTTATAGCGGGAAGCATGTTCCCAGTCACACCACCCAACTGCTCTTGAAAGACACAACTAAGAACTTGACAATCGGCCCCTCTGCGATGAATGCCTCAGGCGGCAACAAAGTGGCCCATATCTATAAGAAAACCTTCTAGCTGAGACGACCAGCCCGGTACTCGACAAAAGGCATGTTGTCAACCAACTAACCCCCGGGCACGACCCGACAACTCTTGGTTCCATGTACTGTAACCTCCCAGCCACCCGTGGCCCTCCCTCGGGCCCCATCCGAAGTGCTTAGGAGCCAAGGGTGGAACCCATTTCCGGGGAAAAGTTGATACATCAACTTTTTCCCCACTCGATTCCTGAATGTACTACGGAGTACATAGTGCATACCTTTAAGCCCTTGTAAGCCTAGTAAAAAGATGATCAACGGTCATCACCTAGAGGTAACTACTAGCCTATGCATTCTTCTGCTGCTGTCAAAGTTTCGACTTCGAAGCCCTGATATGAACGATGATGACCTTGGAGTCTGGATTCTACATTACCCTCCTAGTATTGAACAGACTTGCATCCATGCCCCGTGCTTACGGAGACCGACGGACTGCTGTGAAAGTTATCTACAGAGGTAAAGCACTGTACTGTACCTTGCAATGTGTTGTGATGTATGCTGCTTGATGGACCATGTCTACAGTCCTTTCGTGAGTTTGTGACTCCACAGTGGAGATAAGATAATGCAGACCGGCGACCATAGGCTCAATGCATATGGCGAAAGAGTCGAAAGTACTGTACTTCCACTGTACTAAGCCGGGTTGGGTAGGAGGTCCAGCTGCCTGTCTGCCAGGTGGCAGGTGGCAGGTGGCAGGCGGCCCTGTGAAGCGCAATCATTCGTCTTATTCTTGTCTTTTGCTTTTCTACGTAGTATGTTTTATGGTTCCTTTCCCCTTCAGAGTAAGGGACTCCGAGAGGTCGGGTTGGGGACTGGGACTGCCCAGTGGTGGGTTAAGGAAGTTTCATTGTTCTAGTGAAAATGGGGCGAGGGGCAAAAGAGCAGGGATTAGATGGCGATGCTGTGATGGGTGGGGAAACAGCCCCGAGCCACTCAGTGCCCACTGGGAGATGAGGAGGATGCCTGAGCGGTTGTTTTTTCTTGTTAGAGGTGATTGGCTTGGGCGGGTTTGAGGGGATTTCTTTTCTCGGAGATGCGTGGCCAGAGCCCAGGGAGAGGGGACCTAGGGTCTAGGGGCAGGTCAGTGGGGATGGACTATAAACAGCCAGCCAGCAATATCCAGAACGCTTGCCTCCCCTGCATGTGCGGTGTTGTGCTGGGTCCATGGTGGTTGACGGTGGCGAAAACGAAGGGGTTTGCATTTTGCATTTTGCGTTGGGCAGGGAGGAATTAGTTTGCGAACCCGGTGGTGTGGTTGCTGGGTTTCTTTTACGACTCGATCGGGGTTTTTTTTGTAGGATGCTGGGGAGGTTGTTTTGGATGCCTGAGGGCTTGATGATGCTTCCCCGTGAGCAACTTGACTGTTGTGCGTGAGGGAATGAGCGTGTTATGGGATGTTAGGTATTAGGTACATGCTTCGTCTATCATAATCTACGTAGTGATCTCCACGGCCAAGACTTGACAATCACGAGGCAGGAGAGGGAGATAGAACTGTACTTGTGTACTGTACGGAGACACTAACTCCTCATGAGGTGGCAGATTTCTCCGATTTGGAGAAAAAGTGGAGGAGGAAGCAGGGGTGCATTGAACTTAGGTTTCGCTGGGGCAGCTTCATTCTGACAAATTGTTCCATTCCACGGCTTCTTTTTTACCATACCGTACACTCAATTGTTACTTTACTTCTCTTACTGCTGGCTGTTCTGCATGGGACCGTTGCCGTTTTTAATATAAGTTGGACAGTAGCATGGTGGTGCGGTTGAGTGTCGTGCAGCTGCTATGCATGCGCTACTGTCAATTGGGAATGTCGGGGGAGGAGGATGTAATGTACTGTATTGTGACAGGGTATTGATACCTGTTTTGAGACGGAGGTTGTATAGCACCAGAGCCGGAAAGGTTCGGTTATATCGAGCAGAAGAGATTGATATAGTTGGAAGAGGACGTGATCGTGGAGGGTCTTGTTGATATTGGTAGCAATTCCTCTTGTTTTATTTTTGGTTTATCTCGGCATTGGCACGAATTTAATCAATAGATGGAAAAAGGCTGTCACCCGTATAGATTCTACCGTTATAACCAACAAGGTAAGATACACTGCTACGCAGTATACTGATGCATAGTACGGAGAGTACATACATACCTATCATACCACCAAGCCTTGCGCTGATATCATCTTGGCTCAGCAGGTCAGCTTCCAGACTCCTGGGTACAGAACAACAAACAAAGTCTGTTGCACTCAGCCACATCCCAGCGTCCGGGATCTAGAAAAAGCAACAGGCTGTGGTCCCGGCCTTGTTGACGGGCGTGTTGTCTGTCACCACACAAGACAGTCGGAATCGCTAGCAGAGTTCCCCGCCAAGCTTAAGAGGATTAAGGAAAGAGAGCCGGGTTGTCGAGACGGGGGTTTCGGGCAGTGTTACCCGGGTGGGTGTCACGGCATTACTCCGTCTAGCTGTCTAGCGGGCAGGCCTGGATGATTGCCTAGTAGAGTCTAGGGACAGTACGGGAGGAGTTTAGTCTTCTCAGAGGCTAGGCTAGGACCCAAGCGCCCCGTCGCCTCGGTTCGCCCGCCCGCTAGACTAGCCTACTTCTAGTTCAAGGTTGCTGCGCTTGCAGGAGCAGCAACTGAGCAAGACTTCGCTTGGTCTCCATCCCGTACCTTGCTTACATAGTACTGTACTTGCCAGTCTGTCTGTCTGTCTGTCTGTCTGACACTGCAGTCACTGTGTAGTCTGTCTCTCTCCTCCCTTCAGCACGGATCGTGAGTATTTCTTCTAGTGGTCGACACCACTTTCCGATCACAAACTCCAGAGTATGTCATGAATTGCTGAACTTGGAGGATTTGAACGAACACTTTTTGTCCTTCATACTCCATCATGATGAGTCCCTTGCGCGTCTGTTTGCTGCTTCTCATCTGACAATGAATATGACGTCTAGTTGTTGTGTCTCGGCTCGAGTACGTATGAAGAATCACCAGACACCCCATCTGCTGCAAGTCTATACGTAACAGTTCCAGCGCCAAAATATCTGGATAAAATGCTGAAAGATAATTCTAAATTCACATATTCCTTCATAATAGGATGGAAAAATAACCGCAAGCCAGCAACGAATTAGCCATGTGCCACCCATACCCCTACCTACTCCCCGTCTCTTAAGCCTCCTGCCACATTGGCAACTTAACACTTTTTTTACTTTTACGCTTTCGTTACTTGACCTAACTTTTACTTTACATACCTAGCTAGTACTCTTACCCACCCCCCTCTTGCTGCTCCATTTCCCCCCTCCCTGCCAGAAAGGGTTGTTCGGCTTCTATTTATCATTTGGCTTGCGCTGCAGTGACCGTCGTTGCCTGCCTGATTTGTTTATCTCTTTCTCGCTTTTTCTCTTTCCTTTGGCGGCCACCAACTCAATTCATTACTAGCACCCACCCACGGTTCTTTCCCTCCTCCTCACTTTCTTCCCTCTCTACTACAACTCTACAACTACTTGCTCTTTCAGCCCACCACCACCAGCACCACAAAACAAAACAATCCCCTCCCACGTCACATCTCGCGCCCTTTCTAATCCCTCCCGTGGCTTTTCGTACGCCTCGACCACGCCCGATCCACACGATCTGACCGCCCTTCAGCCAATCAGTCGTGGGTTTCGGCTGCGACCCTACCAAGAGCTCACCGTCTTGCCGGGTGTCCCAAGTCTACGGTTTCGGGTCACGCCCGTGCGACCTGCCAATACTTAATCGTGGTTCCCGCTTTGTCTGTTCTGTTTGGCACCCACTCGGTTCGATCAACAACATCCACCCCCCTTCCACCTCCACCCTCCACCCTCCACCCTCCACCCCTGGTCCCGGTCGCCCAACAACCACTTTATTATACTCGGATCGATCATCTCAAACCCGCCTGTCCCGATTCCACACCCCGACTGTCCAGCGCTAGAATATGAATAGAACTTATTGAATCGAGGCGTGCCGCAGAGATTGAGTTCTCTTATACTGCAAGGAAAACGAAAACTTCCCCAATATCACCGACTTGATTCACCACAATAATAGCCAGTCCCGTCCTCAGAAGACTGTGCGCCCTCTCGACATGTCGACACACCAGGGTTCCGACCTGTTCAGCGAAGGAAAGCATGAGGGGTTCTCCAAATATGTTAAACGCATAAGAACCGCAATGAGGAGAACCTCTACCATCAAGACATTTCCGGCGCCCGGTATACAGGGGGCTACCGAGGTACCCGTCTCCAGTCAGAACACTACGTAAGTTCGACCTCTCTCTTTCCCCATTGCCATTGTCCACATTGCCGTAATACTTACTTTAGGTCAGCCTGACAGTTACTCCTCGCCCACCTGCCACCAGTGTGGCCCCCAATGCGACGGTGCTTTCCAACTGGGGAGCCATCCAAGAACAGAAGGCGCGCGCATTGTTCGCAAAGTATGGATTAGCCGTCGAGCCGGGAGAATGGAAGGCGCCTAGCGATATGACCGTGCAGCGAGTGGTCAGACCGATCCGTATGCGAGTCCGCCGTACCTGCCACCGCTGCCAGACCATTTTTGGACCCAACAAAGCTTGCGTCAATTGTCAACATGTTCGCTGCACAAGCTGTCCGCGGGACCCCATTGCGAAGCCCGACGACAAACAGGCACAGACCGAAGCTGCACTTCAAACCCTCCTGTCGCAGAAAACGCCTGAGATTGCCCCGGCGCCGCGCCAATTCAGAGAACCTCGCTTGACCCTACCCTCACGTACCGGTGGCCAGGATTTGGTCCATAACCCACCTCGCCAGAGGATCCGGCGAACCTGCCATCGCTGCAACACCGTTTTCGCCGCAGATGCTATGGAATGCAATACCTGCCAACACATTCGCTGTACCCTGTGCCCTCGCGAACCGTACGTTGTGCTATCTCCGCTCGTCGAGGCTATGCTAACAAGCTGTAGGGCGAAGCTTAACAAATACCCGAATGGGTATCCCGGAGACGCCGAGCCTCCCTCGGAACTACCTGCACGGACATGGAAGAAGCCCCGGCAACGGGTTCGATACTTTTGTCACCGCTGCAACAACGTACTCCAGTCGCGAGAAACCATCTGCTCCCATTGCGGGCAAGAGAAATGTGACGAGACCATACGAGACCCGTAAGTTACTGAAGCTGTTGGTTATAAGCAAGCACGTGTTGATAAATCCATTGCAGGAAACGCAAAGAAAGGCCAAAACCCGACCCTGAGATATCGAAACGAGTCGAAGAGCGATTGGCGCATGTGAAGATAGTGAGCATGGGATAAATGGAACACTGAAACGACTCATTGTCAATTCATCTCACGATCTACGGCCCTAGTAAAATGCTCAACAAGTTCTCTCTTTTTCCCTCGCCAGAGGCCGTTCACCCATACGGCTGGCCTTTTCCCGGAAGCCTCACTTATTCTTTGAGCCTGGATAGCATGAGAATAGAGCCCAGACGAATAGCCCCGGGGAGAGTTTGGTGGGGGCACAGTAGGTCTGGTCCTGGACGGCTGAATTGGTACATGTGATTGCGTACGCTTTAAGGACTGCAGATGTTTGCATCTTGAAGCCTCAATCATTCTTAATAACATGAAGCCCCGGGAGTAATATCTCGCTGTGCAAGGCCGGTGGATATGCGCTTACGATGGTAATTCTTCAGCGAAGAACCAAACCCAGCGTTACATCGCCGGACTTGCTACGAAATTAGGTCCTTGCAATTTCCCTCCTTAGGATACCATTTTTGGCCGAGGCATTACATTTTTCTAGAGCGGAATTTATTTCTGAAGGTTCGAATGGCGAGTCAGGTGTGATCCGCAATAGAGAATGTACAGGTTGGAGCGTTAGCCGAAGCAGGACTAGAGTGATGGAGTGACGGAGGGTCTAACCACAACCGCGGGCTGCTGCAATCAAACCTAAATAGAGTGTGTGCCACTGTGATGATTGACAGGACCCGCAATGGTGTTGAAGATGGAAGACCTCGAGCCAATGATTGCGCAGGGCTGGACGAAACTGCATCTGTCCTTGGATGTAATCTAAATCATATATTGAGGCCACCCAGTCTAGAATCGGGGGAGACGCTGAGTAATGATTAGAGAGGGCTCCACTGGGCCCCGCTGGGTTGGATTCAGTTCCCGGCGATTTGGTGTCGTCCCATGCCTTGGTCAGGGGGGAAGGGGGTGCGTGATAAAAGTGATTCTAAAGCTAGAGCTACGTATCGTAATCGAGTGATCTCGAAACTGCGTAGTGATCATGCAGCCGTGTGCCAGTAGATCTGTACAGTTCATAGACCTCCCAGGGAGGGTATATTCAACCTGATAAGTCTGTATTATAAGTCCCGAATCTTCCGAAACCACCTGGTGCAGGCAGATAGAAATCATGCAACCAGATCCTGTCACGGCCCTGGACAGATAATCCCTTCCATTATAGCCTTCCAGAAGAGAAAACAGTACGGAGAGTGATTTTCTACCCAGCTAACTTACCTCCCTAATCCTTCAATCCCCCCGAAACCCATCCAAACCTCGGTCCACCGATTCTCCAACATGTTTCCCATCAGAGACATCGACCATCATATCAACTGAGATAATAATATATTTTTAAGCCAGCCAGATGAAGAAAAAAAAGTCAAATCCCCGACAAAACTCCGCCAACGTCCCTGCACTCGGCCGGAACGGGGGGGTTTGAACCGGGGGGTTGAAGAACGGTAGACTAAGGTAAGCTAGACTAGTTAGACTTAGAACCCAACCCAACCCGCCGGCGGCGTGCACGGATCAGTCTCTTTTTATGGATTTGATTTGATGGATAGGTAGTACTTGATTGAATTGGCACCGGGGGGATGCAGAATGTCATCTTGGGGGTTCTCCGTCACTTTGGAGATTGGGGTACTACGCTGCTGCTGCTGCTGCTGCTGGTGGTGGTGGTGATTACGGGGTAGGGAACTGCTATTTGCCTGCTTCCTGCTTTTCTTTGGATGGTTTTGCACTGTAAAGTGGAGGGTAGGGTAGGGTAGGGTAGGTTGCGTGCGCCCTGCCAACGCATTTGCGCCACGTTCGGTCGGGGGAAGGGGAGGGGGGTTGTCTGTGTTGGGATTTGTGTTTGAGGTATTTAGATTTAGGGTAGTTACTCTGTATACCGATATATTTATTCAGTACAGATGACGGTATCGAGACCTAGGCGTTATCCATTATTATCGGTATTATTCAGTCCTCGGCTGAGACCATCGCCTACCTGTACAGGGGTTGACGTCGACCCTCTTGGCGAGTTGAGAACTACATCACCATCACCATCATCATCACCATCATCATCCATCCTGAACAGGAATTCAGGTATGCAGGAATTAGGGCCTAAGGTAGTACAATACAATACATGTACTCTGCAACTGAATAAAACCCGTGGCATCGAAGATCATCCATTCTTACCTTGCGCTGTGGTAAATGATCACCTGTAGTGTGGATACCGAAACCGGGTTCCCCGCGTCTGACGTGCCAAGATCTCAATGGGGTATGAGGTATGAGGTATGGCAGCAGTGCCGGGCACCTCATGCCACTTGCACTCAGTTACAGCAGAGTATGGTACTTGTGCGTACTGAGTATGTAGACAGGGTTGGTTGAGGGGGTCCGGTAGTTGGGTTAGCGCGAGGGACGGTGAGTTTGTCTTGTGGCGTTGTCGTTGATGTCTGCTGTCTGCTATACGGGTGGTGAAACGCGGTTTTGGTTGCGAGGTTAGACCCTTTGGGTGGTGAGTGCCCTGGTCCTTGGGATTAGGGTGGATGGCTGTTTTCTCGGGGTGGTGTTTGTGTTGGAGGCGATGTACTAGGTGTTTAGATACTCGTAGACTGGCGGGCTAGTCGACTGACGGGTGACCACACGTCAGTAGCTGACGGTTTCTTCTGGTGGGCTGCAATTGGGGTCTATATTTGGGTCTCTGATGAAATCCTGAAATTTAAAGTTCTCTTCTGTCCCGGGTCTGCTGCTTGGAACCGGAGGGCAAACGCATGTGGCTCGGAGATGTCGGTTCCTGGTAATTATTCTCCGATGGATGGGGATACCAAGAAAACTTTTCGCTGATTGAGTGGTGACACTTGGGCCACATAGATAATTTTAGATGTATAGGTAAATTGCTTGGGCGGTAGATGTAGACTCCAAGGTAGTTTGTGCTTTGTCCTGTAGTCCTCGAATCAGCTCACCCAAACTCACTAGAGGACCGTATGGTCAATATCACCCAGGGCTTGATACTATGTCTCGTTGGGTTGCCCACCGCTACATCTAAGGAGAACAAGTACGCCAAACAATAAACAGTGTCCGATTCAGTAATATCTCCCGCGTAGACCCAAGCTTCCAAACTACATCAGCAGTGACAGCCCGCCGGGTCGGTCTCCCGACGGTTCGTATCCAGCCAAAGCTTAACGGGTGCGAATTGGCGACAGTGGCGTCTGTGGAACCTGGATCCCGGAGTGCTGCCTGCTCGAATCCTGCCGCTCCATTGGGCTGGTAGCAAAGGGGTCGGTCGTGTCCGGGTGGAGCAAGTTGGACTCGAAGACGGGAACGGAGTAGGAGTAGGAGCAGGATTCTGAAGACAGGGTGAGAGCGAGACCAAGGACAAGTGGCGTGTCGCATTGCGGTGTTGCCCGGGCCATAGAGTTGTGTAACCTCTGGTTTCTTGAAGGATTCTTTTGCCCCATGTATGAAGAGTTTGTTACTGGGGTCTTTCGGTCATGGATGTTGAATGATTAGAGGTAGTTTATTGGCTGAGACCTGTCTTAGAACTGGGAGATAGCAGTAACCCTGCTGGTGATCATACTTGGGCAGTATCTGAAATCCATCACAGTGTCTAAGAGATGGCACATATGGCAGTGCAGCTTCACTAGATTTTTATCGTGCCAGGCTGTATCCTTCTGATCGGTCCGATCCGTGGATGACCCGCGGGACTGGCGATGGATGCACTACCAAGGATCTTCGCGTGAAGTTCGCGAGATCATGCATTGGCTATGAGGACATCAGGTCGGAGGTTTGCTGGTTTTCTAGGCTTGCAGTCTGGAGTGCGCTCAATTAGTGGGAAGTATACGTCTGAGTTAGATGAGGTTTGCTTTTCCTTCCATGCCTTCTCGACGCGGGCTCGTTGAACCGGATATATCGGTATTAATTCGGTAATACGTCCAACTTAGATGGCCGTTATATCCAAGCAAATGAAGTCAATATGTGTCAAGTCGAACAAGGCAGGAGTTGGATGCCCAACCAAGGTTTGAATTGCGCAATGAGAGAGGAGCATCTACTGTCGAAGACATGGTAAGACCCGGTATACAAAGGTAACATTCCAAGTCGGATTGACACCAGACCCGAACCAGACCAACCGATCATAACTCGATACAACCCCTGTCAATACGTGAGAAACCCGATGCAGGATGAGGAAAGACCCCCCGTTCTTCCCTCACCGCTTCCCCAGGGGATAACCACTACCGGACTCTTCCTCCACTGCCTCCACTCTACACACTCCCTGCATCACGTATCCCCGAGCACTGCCTTCGAAAAAAAGAAATATGACTGCTCCATTCTCCGTCCCAGCAGATTGGCACCGAATGAGAGCCATCCCTGCACCTGCTGCTCTTCCTGCCGCATGATTCATGCAGCGGTTGTTGCCTTGCTTACCCAAGAACCAGCGGTCTCCAATTACCTCGACTAGGGGCGGGTGTATGCAAGCCCTGATCATACTCGCCCCTCTGGTGATCCTGTTTTCGAGCAAACAAACCTGCAGACCCTTGGGGCGTCGACACGGTACACTCCCGACCGGGGTGTGCTCGAGTGCTGAATGGAACATGCCCCCAATGGCATGGACTTTGCTGGAACTGGAGGCGCCACATGTTCCCTCTAGCGCCCTGCGTGTCGCGCCATATTACCCGGATGGTATGGTTGCAGCTCGTATATCTTACGGGGCAATCAACCCCAGTGAAATTTCCGGTTCGTACCGTCTGGTGGTAGGTCGTACGGTGACCGTGCGTTCAGTACCTGGTTTCGTTACTGACAGGGAGTCCTAGTTGACATGTTCGTGTATTTTCCTATGATACACTAAAGCTCCTTGTACAAAACGCCATGATTCCATGCAATCTATCCAGTCAGAATCGCTTGCTTGATATTAGTGTCTCCCAGAGACAACTCCCAGTCATTCTCCCCATTTCAAGCGCTTTGCAATCACTTCATCAACTTCATCGCAAGACCGCTTGCAACCGCCAATACAGTTGGGGCAGCGAACGTAGAAATAAGAGTGTGGGTGGTATCCAAGGCTCTCCAAGGCATGATTCCTCCCAATGAATTCGGTTTTCCCCCAATCGAGACAATCTTCGCAGAATGCGAGCGGACACCTCGCACAACAGAACAAGAGCCCACCGGCCTCCGATGCCCGGCTCGCGCAACCCGAGCAAACATGATGGGGGCAACTGAATCGAGCCTCGTTCGTGTGCGACTTCATCGAGTCCGGCAGACATTCCCAGTGATATGCTCGAGGACAGGTCTGGCAATCCAGAGGTTCGAACCTCTTACAGATCCCACACGTCTACTTCCGTCAGCCAGGTCTTCAAACCGGGATAGCCATTATACTCACGATCTCGTTTACCATCGACTTCAGGGTTCCCATTCCTGGTGATTTTGGCGTGGTCGGAGACGCGATATGCATGCGCAGATTCTCCTTGGTGACGTCGAAACCCTCAATAGTGATGACCCGGCCTTTGCCAATTCGACGTTCTGCGCGGGCGAAACAGCGTGCGTCGTCTGGAAATGCCTGGGATCTAGACAATTTCTCAACCTTCCGCCCATTAAAGATGTTCGTGCGCACCCGCTCCGACACTTCCCACCAGGAAGAGGTATTCGCGAGATCCTGGCCCGTGTTCGAGTTGATGGTGCATCTGTCAATTAGAGATTCAAAACTCCACGATCTCATATCTGCCAAGTTATTCTCTTGAAGACCTTCACATGAGATTAGCCGCATTGGAGGCGTTTCGTCAATCCCGGTCAGGGTATAGTCATGACCGTTTCCAGCTTCGAATATGCGCTCCTCCTCAATGATCTTCGATGAGAGATATGACTTCTTGAGCAGGCGACGGCTCATCTGCTCTTCCAATGTGCCCTTAGAGATAAGCCTGAAGATTCTAACTGGTTGAGTCTGGCCTATACGGTGCACGCGAGATTCAGCTTGTCTCATCACTTGTGGATTCCAGTCTTCGTCCAAAAAGATGACCACTGAAGATCCAACCATATTTAACCCTTCACCGCCGGCCCGAATCGATACAAGGAAGACCATGAACTGGGGAAGGTTGTTGAAGAGATGAACGCAGAGCCTGCGCCAAGCTCGAGAAGTGCTTCCATCAAGCCTGACATATTCGAAGAAACCGCGTCTCTGCAGGGTTTCCAAGAGCTCCTCACAAAGGTCAAGAGCCTTGACGAAACATGAGAAGATGACGACCTTCTTATTTTCGGTGAAGACGAACTGGTGGACCAACTTGCTCAAGGCAAGAAGCTTTCCTGAGCACGAAAGGAGGGAGCTAACAGAGTCATCTGAAGTCTCTGGGCTGTTGTTCAATAACCAAGGATGAATGGAACACTTCAGACGTGAGCACACTGCATTGCTGGAATGATGCAACCAATGCTTACCTTTCGCAGTTCCATGAGAATGTTATCCGAAATCTTCCATTTTCGCTTGCCCGCTGGCTTATTAGGATCGAGATTCAACCTGTCGATAGGCCAGCCTTCACTGTCTGTATCCAACGTCGATGACAGCTGCGAGACTTCACCCAGTGCTCCGTCTAGTCCTGTCAGCACTTTCATATACAGGGAGTGTTGTAGCTTCGAAAGCGGCACAGCGAGTGTGACAACTTGCTTAGGAGGCAAATTTATCCCGACTTGAGGGGAGTCTTTCAGACGTCGCAACATGATGAGGTTGAGAAATTTCTTGATGTGATTCGAGAAGGCAGCATCGAATTTGCCTTCGTTCAGAGAGAATGCGTCCTTGAACAGCTTAGCCGACGACGGTGTGAAGACCTCGGGAAAAAGCCAGTGCAACAGCGACCACACTTCGCCCAAGTTGTTTTGAATCGGAGTACTGAAAACCAGGTCAGGTGAGCATGTGAAGGGGAAGAAAAGGACAGCGTCACTTACCCTGTGAGTATAAGCTTGTATTCGGCACGAAGCTTGCCCATGGCCTGCGCCCGCTTTGAGGTGCTGTCTTTGATCCGATGGCCTTCGTCAAGTACAACATACTTCCAGATTGCCACCTTTCGGAACCACAGGATGTCCGTCATCAATGTCTCGTAGCAGGTGATTAACACTGTGCTTCTGACATCCTCTTTGAAGCAGCCCTCCTTGCCTTGCTTCTTCGAAAACAGTTTCTTTACCATGGCTCGCTGATCGCGACTGCCATGAAACTTGACGGGAGTGAGGTTCGGAGTCCACTTTGTGATTTCCGTGATCCAAGTGTCCAAGACGCTCAGAGGGCAAACGACCAGAAATGGCGCAGGATTGATGCAAGATGATTGTTCACTCTCTGTGACATGTTCGAAGAGCGTCAATGTCTGCAAAGTTTTTCCGAGTCCCATCTCGTCGCCTAGAATGCCACCCATTCCATTTCGTCGAAGGTACGTGAGAAAGGAGAGGCCATCGAGCTGGTACGGTTTCAAGGTTGCCCGCAACCTGCAAGGTTAATCAAGGTGTGCAAGTTCCTGGGCTTATGGGTCTTCACTTACCCTTTTGGTTGATATGTGAGACTTTGCTGCGGCTCGATTGTTGACTGCCCCTGAAGTTCGGAGTTCCTCAGCACGTCGGGAACATTGTCTAGGAGGGGAAGGATGAGGTCTCTCTTTGTTCGAAGGAAGTTATTTCGACGTCTTTTGATGTCGTCGATGACGTTCTTGGGTGTGATCTCTGGACTGAATGTCCTCTCTTTGGTACGAAATGGGAGATTGACGTGAAGGTTCCGGAACCGCCCGGTGTATGGCGAGAGCGGGGATGATTCTCGTTCTGACGGGGTCAGTTAGCTCAGCGATTGCTTGGTATGGCATGAAGGTAGTCTGTCATACCGAGGTATCGAGGTTTTAGGGGCTGTGGGCTGCTAGTACTGGGTGGAGAGGTAGGGGGAGTCGAAATGCCTGATCTTGGAGTGCTGAGAGGTGTCTGAAAGCCATCCGAGTCGAAGAGATTGTCCATATCGATGTGAGGGGGGTGGTAGGCCATCTTGATGAAGCTAGGCAACAGGGTGATTCTTTGGTGATAGGGATAGAGTGAGGAACTGTTGCTCTGGTGATGAGGCGGCTGAGTTTATATAGTGGTGAGTATATAACACCACTGTTGATTTCAAGCCATTGGGGGTAGGAATTGAAACGGGTCTGAGGCAGTGTTGCTCCTAGGCATGCTGGTTGTTTGGAATGATGGGGAAGCTTGTAGGAAGGTATATTCACAGGGAAGGGGTGAGGAAGGGATCCCAGTTGGGGCAGGGTACGTTGAGAGTGATAGTGAATGGATGGTGTCTAAGATGGAGAATCAGCCACATCGTGCTTTTGCTGTCTGAGTGAGAGCGACAAGTGGGTTAACCTGATCTATTCTTTCAAGCATAATCACTAGAGAGGTACATGTATAATTTGGGAACAGTGAGTGTGTTTTATAATGACTAATTCATGGTAATGTGAAGCGATATCTGAGGAGGATATACGTGGTAAATGAGTGGGGTGAGGTTTGCTCGGCTCACTGCGGATTGCGGTAGGGTATGATCTTGTTATAAGAAGAAGGGTACTTTCAGTCAGTTGAATGTCTTTTAGATTCAGCAGAATTGATTTGTAAATAGTTCTCTGTGATGTTCTCTAGCGTCTTGACGTATACTGGCTGCATGGATGGAGTATACATTATGCGGGGATTAGCGAGATCAACCACCAGAGCAACAAGACATTAAGTGAAGGGGCATTTCAAAGAGGTCTTCCCAGCTCAAATACCCAATAGAAGCCATGACACAAACAAAGATTCATGTACAGTACAGTCGTGGGGATCCAGAGATCAATCCGTCGACACCTGCCACCCCAAGGCAGCAAGGCAGCAAGGCAGCGATCTTATCAGCCCTCCGCCCTCCGCCCGATAAGCACGATCAACATTTTTCTCCAGCTCCCGTCCGTCACCACCACACCATACCTCGACATACAACCTCCACTGCCTTTCCACTTTCACCTTCGAGCATCACCAATCCAACTCCTCTCCTCCCACATTTACAGCCAATCCAAGCCATACCCCACTCATCCCCCCCACATCAAAAATGACCACCCCCAAAAAACAACACATCGCGCAAACCCTCCTCCTCCGCGCCCACTCCCCGGACACAGCCACCACCCTCTTCACCGAGCGCATCAAACAGAAGCCCCTCTACGTGCGCCCGACCTCCCCGACCCCGGAGGACAACCGCCACCGCCGCCGCCTGCACCGCCTCCGCCGCAAGGACTACTTCCTGCGCCACCAGAAACCCCGGCCGTTGTCCGCGCGCGAGCGGCGCGCCCACCCCGAGGTGTTCGGGGTGCCGACCTCGCGGGCGCGGGCGAATGCCAAGCACAAGCACCAGCACCAGCACCAGAACCAGAACCAGGCTGAGTCCGAGGCCCAGGGCGCCGGTGGGCCCGGGGCGGCCGGGGAATACAAGTACGCCACCTTCCAGGGCCTGCACGCGCTGTGGGTGGAGTACATGCTTTCCGTGCTCGACCTAAAGGACCCGCGGAGTAAGACGGGATGTGTGGTCACGCCGAGCTCGCATGGGAGTAAGCTGGTCAGCTGCGATTATCATGGGGCCGAGGTGGAGGTCGTCCGGAGTCGGTGCGCGGGTCGGGTGGGGGTGAGGGGCATTGTGGTGCGGGATGGGATGTTTGCGTTTACGGTGGTGGGGGAGGGGGATCAAGTTACGCGTGAGTTTATTCCTTTTCTCTTTACCGGGAGGGGTTGAGCTGGGATGAGATGAGATGGGATGGTTGTGCTAACATTGGTGGTGGGGGTTTGGGTAGTGATTCCCAAGGAGCATACGGTTTTTCGGTTTGAGTTGCCTTTACCCTTTTCTTCTCCTGAGGCGGGGAAAGATGCGGCTGGGGATGCGGCTGGGGATGGGGTTGATGGGGATAAAGGGCAAGGGCAAGCGCAACAAAAGAAGCTCGTGTTCGAATTGCATGGCAGCCAGTTCCAGAATCGGCCGGTGGACCGCGCGAATAAGAAGTTCAAGTGGAGGAATGTCGACTATGTTTGAGCGGCTGCCTGGACCGTCCCTTTTTTTTTTTTTAATTCTGGGGCTCTGGGTTTACGGGGTTATTGGTGTTGCTCGGGTATAAGGATTGGATGTCTGTGCTGTGCTGCTGCGCTTGCGGTTGCTGGGAAATGCTGGGGCACTGGGTCGGCAGGATGGGCTTGCTGCTGGCTTACTGGTGAGGTTCGTGGCCGTGGAGGGCGGCATGGCTACCGAGCTTGAGAATCATGTCTAACAGCTCTAGCTTCAGTGTCTCCTATGCAGGGGTGAACTCGACAGGGGAGGATGTCAGTCTACTGCCTCTGCAGTCACATACCCGGCTGAAAGCACTGCGCTCAGCCATAAGTTGGCGTCGAAGTGCGACCTTCACGCGACAATGGCACTCCGGCGGAATGCCTTATATTGGGCTACAGTCCGACGAGGCTCAGGACCCCCGCGACAATGCACGTTGCACACGCACAAAAGTCTACAGAAGTAGGTCTTGACATTGATATAGATGAACCAGAACCAGAATCCATCGTCTCGCCATATTATTCATCGCATCCATTCATGTTCGTTGTAGCTCATATCGAGCACTATCTTTGGTCGAGCATAGCTTGTCTCAGCCAGACTCAGCTCAAGTATCCCCGGACGCACCTCGGCCAGGCACCCAGGCATCCTAGATGGGCCATAACGGGACGACTCTACACAGGATGAACCCGCAGACGACAAGCCCAGCTGCCGCGGCGAAGCAAACAGCCCATGTGCATTTCTGCTGGACTACATTGCATTCCCGCTGCATCGCATATCTTCCATCCCGGTGGCAGACAGAGTATCCCCCTCCATATACCAACCGAGCAGTGTTACGAGTCCATCACCAGGAGTAACGGGCCGGCAACAGCAACAGCGACAGCAACAGCGGCGCAGCACAAGCCCTAGCCCCCTCCATCACAAGAAGCAGGCAAGCAGCCATGCCACCATAAGCCTCCACGCCAATATCAATATCAAGACCAACAAGACCAACGAGTTCACATCCCCGCCCACTCAACACTAAACGTCCGCACACTCCCCGCATCTCCCAACCCCAGCCCCGACTCATCCTCCCTCGGCTGTGCCGCCCCGCCAATCAAAAACCCCTTCTTGACGCCGGTGCCCAGCCGTCCGCCCGCGACGACCGCCATCAGATCGAGCTCCTCGTCCCAGTCGGCCGCGACCACCAGAAAATGCGAGTGGAACCGCAGCGGGTCGCCGGGGTACGCCAGGTACTGGCAGCCGAAGCGCAGGCCGGGCGAGAGGTAGTACCCCTCTGCGTGGAGGTGGGCGAAGAGCGGATAGGAGGGGGGCACGGTGGGCGGTGGGAGGAGTTGGTGGGCTGTGGAAGAAGAGGGTGAATACGGGAGTGGTGGGTGGGAGGTGGCCGGGGTGATGCCCATTGTTGTGCCGTAGGGGGCGGTGGTTATGGAGGTGGAGGTGGATGTGATCGAGGTGCGGCGGGAGGGAGATGTGGTGGTGGTCATTGGGGTATCTTCAGCAGGAGCAGCAGCAGGAGCTGGGGCGGAGGGGCTTGGTTCGGGCTCATCGCTCCCTGTGCCGGCAGCATTATCACCAGCATTACCCTCACCCTCAGCTTCACCCACGGCAGTAGCAGCAGCAGCAGCCTTCTTCTTCGCGGCAGCAGTTTTCTTCGCGTCTACCCGCTTCAGCGCCGCCTCGCGTTGCTGCTCCTTGCGGTTGGTCTGCAGCCGCATGGCGTGGGCGCCCTGGGATTCTAGCTCGCGGCGATACTTCCGGCGGTCGGCCTCGCGGAGGGCGCTCATGCCCTCGCGCTGCGCTTTTACCTCGTCTACAATGCAAGCTACACCGTGCTCCACCAGCAGCCGCGCCTCCTCGGGCATCAGCTTCAGCGGCAGCCCCAGAAACACGTTCTGCTGGGGGATCTGCGGCAGGGTGCCGGTGAGCACGCCGCAGATGTGGTGCTCGCGTCTCAGATACGTCACGGCATCGATGGAGAAGAGAAAGTAGCTACCCGCGATATACGAGATCGGGACGGGGAGGAGAGGGTCTGAAGCCATTTTTGGTAGTAAAAAAGTTTATTGGAAGTAATTTTTTTGTCTCTCTGTGCTGTAACTGAGGCGCTGTTAGTTCACGGTCTCAAAAGAGGTGATGTAGAAGGTAAACAGCGGAGATAGGCATTGCAAATCATTTTCAATACGTTTCTCAATCACATATGCTCGTAAAATGAGATTATTTGAGCTTCAGGGGATTGACAGATTATAGTAGTTCATATAATCATGCAAACGGGGGTTTGTGGAATGAAGGTAAGAAACAAAGTGAGGCTTACCATCTACTCAAAACGCATCAGCATCATATGGCGTTGGCAGTGCAATGACTGCGACAATGTTGCAGAGTCCGTGGTGTTCTCTGGTCGGAAGAGCAAGAATGAGAGAAAATTGTTTAGTGGGATGGAAGCTCTTAAAGAAGCTGCCCCGAAGGAGACCTTTCCTCTTACGGCTAGCCGACCATGTGTGCTTAGTAATGAGCACGGGCCACCAGACACATTGCTGACGATGCATCCGAGGCTCTGCCGGGACCAGGAGATCGTGATGTGCTTGTCGAACGACGAGGATCATTAGGCGTCAAAATGAGCTTCTTGTTGCTTCTATTCTTCGTATTTTTCACACCCCTCCTGTTGCTTCTAGGTATGTCCACTTTCACCACTCTTCGGCAGCACAACCAACTGTTAACGGAGCCTTAAAGCATGGCTGGGTCTTTCGTCCTGCCTGAGGAACCGCCGCGTGCGATCGTATTTCGCAGCCTCGCCCGCCGGTCCGGGGATCGACTCGTACGGTAGACACTATCTCCGCACAATGGTCAACACGGGGCCCGCCATGTCCGAGCAGATCGAGCTGGACGATATGATGCGAGGATCGGAACACGAGGAATAATCGCGAAGATCTCTGCATTCGAAGAAACGTCCAGCCCTTCAGAACTCTAGATCCGCTTTCTTCGGCATGTTGCCGGAAACCGTACCGTCCTGGCCCTCCTTGTCGCCTTCCGCGGGGGGAAGACTGAAGGGCTTGATCTCGAACCTCCGTCGGCTCAGTGTGAAGGCCCAGTCCTGGCCGACGTTCTGGTCGCTACCGCCACCACGCTCGCGCAGGACCGGTAGCCGGTGCGTCTTCAACATCCCCTGGGGCGGCTCTTCGTGGGACGTGGCTGCGCCGGAGGTGGCGAGCGCGTCAGCTGAGTGAGGGAAGGGACACAGCTCGATGACTCCGTCGCTGATGAGTTCCATCCATCGCACGAGGCCCGTGGCGCGAGGGAACAGGGACAAGGGGATTGTGATCATCGCCGTGGCTCGAACGCCGGGCGCGTTGAGCAGTGCTCGGAGGGAGTGGAGGAACGGCAGGACGCTATCAGGCTGGCTCGACTCGGGCGGGTATATCGTGGGGTTCAGGAGAGACGGGATGACAATGCGATGGACAGTGTTTGGAGGGCTCGACGCGATCGCAGCATCAAGACGTTTGTGGATGGTCGTGAACAAGGGTTCGTTCGACGGAGTGAGCGGGATGTAGTTGAGATTGGCGATGGAGGGGTGTGTGAGACGTTTGGTCAAATCGAAAGCGTGACAGAACGCAGGTCGCTTGTCCGGACTGCCGTCTGCAGTCGGCTGACTCTGGTCCCCGGGTGTAGCTGTAGGCACTATCAAATGTCAATGCGCCTCTTCACACCCATACCATGAACATGTATCAAATTACCTCGTGACCCTGCAATTCCTGCTCCAAATTCCCCCAGACGCTCGTACCTCCAAGCGATCTTCATGCGCTCGCCCTTGCGCTTGTCTTGTTTGTCATCAACAGCATCAGCTGGCCCTATAAGCCCCGGAAGACTTCTACCCCACTGCTCCGGCATCCCGACGACATGGACTCTGTGGTCCTGCACAACGCCCTCGGCTGCATAGTATCGTAGCAAAGCTCCCGCAAAGTCCGTCGTACCATTCTCTTCCACGAGCAGCGTCTTTCCAATAGGAAGCCCTCCATGCCCAGCAAGTATATTGTCAAGCGACGGCGTTCCTGTCGAAGTTGTCGGTCGCCCATCGTCGGGGGAGGGGCGAACGCCCGGCGTGGATTCTGGAGCAGCAGCAGCAGCAGCAGAAGGGGCTTGCTGCGACTGGGCAGAGGCATTGACAGACCCAGTACGGTCGCCTCCAGTCGACAGTCCAATATTCCTCTTTCGAAAAGACATTGCTCAAAGGTAGTGGTGGGAAATACACCTAACTTAGCTGAAGCGCGAAAGGAATTGTTTCTTCAAGCTCTGAGATTTGGGCTGCGGGGCAATGGACGGAAAGGTAACTTACTGTACTGTAAAAGCGGCGGCGGCGGCGACGGCGGCGCTAAAAGTTCTACTACCAAAAAAGCTGTCTCTCCCGCGCGAACTCACTTTCTTTCTCTCTGGAACTTTCCACTTCCACCTCCGCGTGCGCGCTCGCTACTCATTCATCGGCCGATTAATTCGACACGCTCTCACACCAACGACCAAGGTCGCCATTGTCTTTGCCAAGAAAACCCCGGAATCTACTTCTGTGCAACGCATACCTGCCCACCATGTCCGACCCGTTACTCTTCGAGGACACCTTCACCATCACGGCGATCAACCAGCAGAAATATGACCGCGTGTCGCGCCTGACCTGCACCTCCTCGGACAACTTCACCACCTTCACGTTGGATGTCAACACCGAGCTGTACCCCTGCGTCGTGGGCGAGTCCCTCAACATGGCGCTGGCGTCGACGCTGTCGCTGGATGGCAAGGACGACTCCGGGGCCAAGGCGGGCTGGAAGGAGGTCGGCATGGGCGAGCAGACGCTGGCCAACGACTACGATTACGTCTGCCATGGCAAGGTCTACCGGTTCGAGGAGGGCTCGACTTCGGGAAACATGTAAGTTCCTTGCGTCTGTGGAGCTGGGATCTGTGGGGTGTTTGGGAGTTTTTGATCACATGGATGTGTGACGTGACTGACCTCGGATCTCTTTCCTCTCCAGGGCTGTCTTTATCTCCTTTGGCGGATTGTTGCTCTACCTCGAGGGTCCCTACAAGAAGCTGGCTCCCTTGCGGATCGACTATGTCTACCTTCTTCTTAAGAAATAAGGAACGCGAAGGACGAGCATCTCTTTGACGTTTGTTGTGTGATTCCCTAGGCTATTCTGGGTTGTAGAAGCGCTCTAAGTCCGACTAGTATCTGGGGAACGGGGGTCCGAAACGGAAGAAAAAAAAAAAAGTCTGATTGCATTTGATTGGGGTCCTTCGATTGCAGCGCCGGCGTTCGATTGGTGAAATTCGGGTATATTAAATAGAACCACTAAATATCTTCTATCACATGTTGTGTACATTTCTGCCTGCTCTTCGCTCTGCTCTCATATATCCTTCTCTGCCGCCCTCTCCCTAGTTCGTCGCATGCGACGCCGTGGGGAACTCCAAGCGCCGATGTATCCGCGCCAGGATCTCCAAGAAATCCGGCTCGTTCTCGGCGGTCAGGATGCCGTGGCGGATGAAGAAATCGATCAAGACGACGGCGCAGTTGGGCTTGAACTCGCCGCGCGCCAGGGCCGCCTGGGTCTCGTCGACCGAGAGCAGATGGAACTGCTCGACCTCGGAGTCGCCGGGCTGCAGCACCACGTCCGCGGCGACCCGCACGTCGTAGATGTACTCGACCTCGGGCTGCAGCAGGTCGGTCTCGCCGCCGGCCTTGGAGCTCCGGACGTAGAAGTAGGTGACGCAGCCGGCGGCGCGCGCGCTCGCGCGCGTCACGGCCTCCGGCAGCGAGGCCTCCTCGCTCGCCTCGCGCACGAGACACTCGAACGGCCGCTCGTGCGAGCTCATCCCGCCCGCCACCGAGTTGTCCAGCATCCCCGGGTAGGTCTGCTTCGTGCGCGAGCGCCGCGGCACCCAGATCCGGAGGCCCTGGTCGTCGTCCTGCACGTAGCACGTGGCGTGGATGCCGTAGGAGACCACCCCGAACAGCGGGGTGGCCGACCGCTCCATCTCCAGCAGGAACTCGCCCCCGGGCCCGTAGATCGGGTACAGCTCGTCGCGCCAGCCGCGCAGGATCGCGAACGTGCCCTGCTCCACCGCCGCGGCGAGCGTCTGCGCGACTTGCCGGCTGCGCTGCGCCGGGGTCGCATCGGCGCCGGTCACGAGGGTGACGGTCCGCGTCGTGCCGTCCACCGTCCAGAACTCGGCCGGCCAGGGGAAGCGCTGCACCACGCTGTTGAGGATGTAGCCCAGTACGGCGTCGCAGCCGCTGGCTTTGAAGCGGTGGTAATTCTCCAGGTGCGCGGTGTAGAATGCGGGGTCATCCTGGTAGTACGGGAATCTACCGGGGTGGGATCATGGGTAAGTAAGCATTCCGATGGAGAGTGAAGAAGGAGGGGTTGGAGGGGCAAGGCAGTTACCGGTCGCATTCTTTGACCAGCTCTAGATTGGACTTGCCCATTTTGGTAGAATAATAGAGTTGTGAATGAACAGGGTAGTATATAAAACTGTAGGGGAAACAATCTATGCTTGAGTCATCCTCTAAAAAGAAGGCTGTTGTTGTTGGGTTACGTCTGGATTAGGTTGCTGTAGAGATTAGATAACTTTTTTCTACTTTGGGTCTAATTTAGTGCTACTCCTTACTAAGTAGGCCAGAATATACATGGAAGTATATAATAACACGATATTCAGACCAACCTGAATTTTCAGAAATACCAATTTTTAGCATTGGCGACTGTTTTCCTTACTTGATATACGACGAGTGCTATTGAATTATGTATATAATCCTTGCTAGTAGTGACAATTATCGCATCCATTACAAGTATTCAATTGAATTTTCCGGGGCTTGGTTATGACCCAATAATACTGGATAGATTCAATTCAATACTAAGTAATAATACAGCTTGGATATAAATCGTGCTTGTAGCTAGTGACAAGATGTTGTTTCCATTGGTAAGGTATATATGTATCCATTGGATCTATTTTCTCCCCATCCACCGTGCCTTTCTTGAAAATATGTACTCTCAGCCATGTGCAACGATCACACAAAGCTTGCCATATATTTCTGAAGTAATATGATGCTATTTGCCGTAGACCTACGGGATGAGTGGAGTGCTTACCGACGAGAAGGAGTGATAACAAACCCATCTGATCAATCATATCCATCTTTACGATCTTGAAAGAGGTCCGCAATAGGCGGATAATCAAGTAGCTCACGCTGTTGCGGCATGAAACATACAGGGGGCACATTGCACTCCAGGCTCCCAATCCTAGAGGCCCTTGCCATTCGATGGCCAGCTATTTGTCCATATCTTCTGTGGTCAAGTCTCCGCTGTAATTGATAAACGATTCATCCCATGTATTCCTAGTAGTGATCTTCTCACTCCACAGCTCCAACCAGTTGCAAGCAGTCTACGAATTCGTCCTCCTCACTCTAGGGCGGGGAGCGTGGAACACCGCTCTGCCGTTGTTAACATCCATGGGCAATATCCCAGGATCTACGGGCTGTGACGCTTGCATGCTGCAGCTGTTGGTCTCTTGGAGGGTCGAGGAGACCTAGAGATATCGGATCTTGGGCTACGAAATGTCAGCATCGTTTATCGATAGTTGTACCTGGAATCGGCCCACTTGAAGAGTACTTCAGCACAACAGAGTCCGATGAGTACGAGAAAGTACTGGATCATGAGTTTGCCTGTAGAAGCGACGATGCCCTGGAACGGGGATGAGAGTGTACAATCTTAAGATTTTTGATCCATATCTGTGAGAATATTAGTCAGTGTTAATTGGTTTAAGAGATGAAAATTAACAATTCAATATTAACATCGGACCTTATCTTCAAGAATACTAAAATAATTAGGAAGATATAGTAGAAGAACCGAACCTTTCCCGCTTGTTCATCATTTCAAATCTCACTGGAAAGTAATCTTAAGGTAGGGAATGTGGTGGTTAGGCCACGGCACTGTCGTATCAAGAAGACAGTTATAAAACTGGGGATAATTGAAAGAGCCTCTGTAACCTTGTACAGAGTATCCCTTCCTTGCCCATCGTGAGCATGGCATATTTGTCGCGATCCGGCTCCACCGATGGTAGCTGGCAACCTTAACATCCATGCTTGGGGGCTTCCCACGGAAGGGTAAGGCCGATAACATTGCTGTAATCCTCTTGGTTTTCGTTTGCAAATCTGTAATTGCCGGCATTGCCTGAGCACGGAATTCTTCTTGAATCGTAGCAATGTTTTGACGAAGATCATGTGCGGCGTCACCAGATACATCCGCCTGTTGAAGCCATGAATCTGAGACCATATCTGTGATATTACCGCTGATCGCCTTGGTTCGAGTGTCCAGCGCTGTTGAAAATTGCGAAATGGTAGGGATGGTGTTTCGAAGGTCGTCGATAAGTTTCCGAAAATCCGCGGGAAACTTGAACACCTGCAAAATATCCGCAAGCTTCTGGATTCGTTCTTCTCTAATGATCGTTATAATTTCCTCCTCTGTTAGCGGGATCGACGCAGCCTCCTTTGCATTCTTAATGATACTCGACATGCTTGAGACTGTGGAGACTGCATCGGAAACTGTAACGGTATCCTGCAACAAAGACAATTGTAACTGTATCGTTCGCATGACTTCGAAACGGTCAGTGGATGTGGTACACCTGCGAGCAGAAACCATCTAGATACCTTCATCATTAAATTGGTTCAGCGTTGACTCTGCACACCCAGTTGCGTCTCCACATGCTGGTGCCCCGAGTGTGCTAATCTTGTTCTGCACATTCCTAGCTGAGTTTGTGATTGTCCCGACAGAGGTCTCCAGTGTTTCTAAATCCCACGCATCTCCCCGAAACTGGTGGTCCAGGGATCGAGAAAGCCTTGGAGTTGGCTTGAGATCTCTTTCTGTGACCGCTGAATATAGTCAAGGAGGAATGAATTTATTGCATTGAAATCACATCCAGCGATACAAGTTCCCAGGGCTCCGGCAAACTTGATGTAAGTGGCCAAGTCGATCTGTCGTGAATTAGAACTACCTAATATCGTCACCCCCTTGAAAAGGAACTCGCTTCTGCGGCCTTGAGCAATAGTGCACCATTCTGGGTAGATAGATCACCAGTACTGAGCAGGTTATTTTTATCATCCTGGATATTAAACCCTTTGTCCAAGACTCACTAATATAGCAAGGTCAGGGCGGCTTTCCATGCACACTGATAGGTATCCATACCTTTTGAAGCTCAGCATACACAGTCAATACACCGGATGTTGCGGACGAGACATCAGAAATCGCGTTGGCTGCTTTCAGCGAACCATCGGTACTCAGAGCTAGCACCTTCGGAATGCAGTCACACATCGCAGCTGTCTTCTTCAGGAGATCCAGATTTACCTGAAGCTCCGACTGAACTGCGTCGCACAGACCAACATTTTTCGTCTTGATATTGATACCACATGGGACGTTGATCCACTTTTCTCTAGTACCTGCAGAACGCGTCAATGCCCATGGCCCGCCTTATACTTTGGAAATGACTGACCAGGAACACATGTCCAACCATCGCACGTTCGCCCTGGTTTTCTCCAAGTCGGACACGGATATCTATAAGTTTTTCTTGTTTTGCAGGCGTCCGTCTATTGCCAAAGTTAGAACTAATGCTGGAGTGAATTGTTCTCTCGCATGTACCTCGAAGAACTTGTTTGGGCAATATTTCGCCTCGGCAGCTGTCGGGAGAGTGATCTTAACGCCGCATGCGAAATTGCCTGTGATGGCATTGCAGACTTCAGTGATTGCTTCCGTATAACCCATATAAGCATACAATAGTGCGAGTATTCCATATACTGTAAAGTGCTGCATTTTTAATCTAGCCTTGCGCGTACTAAACTTGGCTGATCTGCTTTTCATACAGTTGTGACCAACTCATACCCTTTGACTCTTCTTATACAGACCCCGTATACTTAGATCTCTGTTAGTAATCTAGAATAGAAGTATTATGGACACGAGATAAAGTGGACCGACAAGCTGTACTATTGCTGCCAGGCACTCCGTTTGCGGCCAATATCCTGGTTTTGCCACACTCTGCCCCAGAGAAGCTCGAATGAATGAAACTCAACATCAATAGCTTGGAACAAGTGTCATTATGCTAGGTAAAAGTACCTTTGCTCATTGCTGTAGCCTTCGGATAGATGGTTTTTGCTGAACTAGGGAATGGATATAATTCGTACCATGAGCCATATTTGGGTTGCGCAAAGTTCTTCCGAGATCTAGATTTCGCTTGTGCAATGGCCATGCTTGTGAGCAAGCCTTGGAATTGCAACGCTTCTGACAAGAAAAAACGCGCAGTCTGAACTAGCTGCCCATTATACCTGATGACTAGGGGCATGCCACCCGCGTTCGGGGGCATATTCTGTATTGCCGTAGATGGGCTCATACAGATTGTCCGCTCTGCTTAATGTTTCAAGTCTTATATTGGAAAAGATGAAGCTACTAGACCTGAGCAGGCTTCATGTTTGAGAAATCTAGCGAGCTTCCAGTAATCCGTAGCCGACACAAAGGAGGAAAATATGGGACGAAGGTTTTCAACCGTCCTTGACTCATACCTAGGTAGTTCGTGACTCCAGCATGCAATTGATCATGAAGCGTCTCCTAAGGTCTCTCACGAATACGACCCTTTCCTACTACGGATCTATCTATAAATGGCTCTTCTCAGCCGCGTATTGCGGCCCATTCTCGATCCGCAGGTGAAGGTACCCTGGATATACTAGTTATGGGTGCTCTTGGTCTTTTGGTTCTCCTCGACTTTGCGGATGAGCGCTCAGAAAATGTCCTCGTTCTCGAGTCTAGCATCCAATTCAAAGCTGGTTTGAGTGGCCGCCGACATGATTTACCTTCTACCGCTAACAAAATATAGACAGCTCGGAGGGGAGGATGGACAGTGCATTCGGTTCCGATTTCCCCAGAGTAGCTCTGTGGGCTATGGCTGCGTGTCAATCAGGGTCTTCCTTCGCTGGACGTGACATCGCGTGTACAGTACATAGTAAGTTCGTTGCTAACTACCAATAAGCTAACAGCGGAAACAGTCCCTGGCTGAGACTTCAGCTGGTCCAGCAAATTGGCGCCATCCCATTTCGAACTATTGAGGCGCTAAAAGCGACGCTACATTGTAACAACCTTGGGGCATCCCCACCCTAACGTCTTCCGAAGGGTCTCAACTGGTGGGTATCAATTTATCTATTTCTTTCGAGTGGAATACCAGGATCACTGCTGACCGACGGTGCCTGGCTTGCTTAGTGCTTCCTGGGCACTCGGCTTCTGACTAAGGCTTTGGGGAGCTGCTCCGGCTGGATGCCTATACTGTACGAAACATTACAGCAGAAGTGGACGGTCTCCTCCAAATCCCTGAACTGAGAAACAAGCGACCCGATCTATATATAATATTACCGAGGGGTCACGATTACTACTCTATACGGTACTTGGAAACCAGGTGCAGGTATGTTTACCTTCAGCCCTTCTTTACCCATTCATCTGACATATGGATACCATAGATTCCCAGCGGTTCCGAACTCTTCGATCAATCGCTTACCGAAACATGAGGCTGAGCAATATGCAGGGGCTTGTCCCCTTCACCCTCACCTTCCTCTCAATCCTCTGCCAACAAACCATGGGCCGCTTATTCCCCATCAACGTGGACCGTCTCCCTTTCGTCGGGCGACGAACAGCAATAGACGACCCACAGGACAGGGTCTACTCATGCCTCACAGGCCCAGCCCGATCGACGACCGAACGCACTCGCTTCGGCACCCTCGGGTGCACAGTCTACGGCTACCCCTCCACTGGCGGCGTTCTCATCAAAGAAGCCGACCTCCTCGACATGCTTTTCCTGTCGCTCCCGCGCTCTCATGTCTCGCAGCGCTCGCCCAGTGCCGAGGAAGAAGACCGGTTCTGTAAGCTTCTGCGCCGGACGGGTGCGACGTTCTGGCCGAGCCAGCAGGATTGGTTCGACGTACAGATGGGCTTGAGGGAGATGACGGAGGAAGAGGAGAAGGTGATTGTGTACGGTTGGCCAGCGGATGGAGTGGGGGTGTGGGTGTTGCGGTTCGCGAGTGCCAACGAACTGCCCGACGACTTTGGGAGAATGAGTTTGGTGATGAATATGGAGGAGAAGATACGGATTATGAAGGAGTATGGCGCTACGTTTGTTGAGGATGTCTCGCAGGTGGAGGAACTCAACATGGTTTGAGGTTCTTCTTGTTCGTGGAATGGGTACGGTGCAGAGGGATGCATGGGGGTTTTGTTCTTTCTACCTTTTTCTTCAAAAAGTGAGATTTGAAATGAGATCTTGTAGATCAAGTGGTTTTGTGGGAGGAGATGAGATAGCTGCATCACTGCTTCTGGACTTCGTGGACAGTTTGTCACACCATCAGGAGTTGGATCATGGCGTCTGGGTTCGAGGAAGGATCGCGCTCGTATAATAGATTCTGTGTACTGTAGTTGTGCCTAGTTAGATCCACAGTCTTATCTGCTTATACTTGTAAACTCTAGGCCAACACACGGAAGGCTGATCGACCTTCATTAGTGTTCGGAGCAACGGTACTGAATTTCACCTATATTGTTCCCGGCCAAGTCTATTTGGCGAGAGGAGTCATGTGGCATACGAATCATCTGTCTGCCAATCATGCAGGGCCTATGTCGAGAGGCAGTGGAGAGGACCAGTGTAGAAGTGATCTGACAACCTCCTACCTGCCCGTATGCTAGCTTAGGACTGCGCTGCGCTACCGTCTGAAACGCCGCGTCTCTTGGCATCAAACTTCAGATAGTGAGAGGCTCTGATCGTTCTTCAGGCGTCACCCTGTTTATGAGAGACCCTCGTTCTTTGAATACTTCACCGAGCCCCTCCACTGCCGACCGAGACGTCGCATCAAGGATCACATAACTGCCAAATGTCAGTGTGAATAGTAGTCCCGCCAAATCAGCCGTCTCCATACGCCTGCTGAGCGACCTGTTCGTCATTCATTCTGCTTTTTGATTTTTTTTTCCTGCCACTATTCCAGCGGGAAAGCGAGCCCGTAGAGGGCCGTAACATGATGGGGCCATGCCCCTTTGGTTCTCGCTTCGTTGTGCGTATGGGGGCTTGTTCGGTATGCCTATGATTGATCGCTCACCTAGCAACAGGGTCATCGTATGTCGCCGAGTGAAAGCTTTTGGTGGATATAATTGTGTTAGCGAGTCAGGCAAGAGGATCGTCACCAGGAGGGACATGGAGGATCCTGGCTAAGACATTGCCCAGACATATTCGCGGGCCCTAGTTTGTCTATCTGAGGTTCAGTATTGGGATACTGCTCATCCGGAGCAGGTTGAGCATTGAGATTGGAAGATGATCTAAGTCGCGTTTTACTCGTTCGGAGTGGGCAGGGGTTATCGAGTTGTGATTGCGATATTCTAAAAGAATAACTCAAAAAGAGGAAGCAGAGAGATGGTAAGACAGATGGCAAGACAGATGGCGGGAAACAACTTGAAAAGAAGGCTTGGGACTAAGGAGCATTGGATAAATGCAATATTGGGAAAGGTAAAGGCAAGAGCAGGATACTAGCGGTACGTGTCACAATTTCATAGTTACCACTCCTGCTCAATGCCCGCCGTGCTGGCGCCTCGCCCGCGGGCTGATCAACATACCTACCTGGATGATCAGGAATTCAGGCCTAATGAAGAACCCCACGAAAGCTCAGCGCCGCAGTGGCTCGCGAAGTCGTTCTTTCTGCGGTGATGAATGGAGTTGACCGTTTCATTGACCCGTTGGCTGCGTTATTGCCTGGAGGCATTGGGTCCACCGCTGCAGCAGGGCATGGAAATAGGTACCTGTGTCCCTAGCACTAGTACGGAGTAACTAATTTGCAAAGCGCTGGCTTTGCAACTTTGCTATGAGGACCTGAGCAAAGGTGACGAACGCTGATTGGCTGAAATTCTGTTCAAAATGACCCGACCTTGAATGCAGTGCTCCATCCGACTGTGATTCCTTTAGAAGTACGATTCGTTGTAATGAGGATCCACAGTAGTAGCTAAGAACCAGTGAAGCGGGGGAGGGAAGCTGAAGGCTGGATGGCAGATGGAAAACAAACGAACCCTTATCGATAAGGGCAAACGGCTCGATTTCGTCACTGCCGCCAAGCTTCTCTGCGATTCCATCATGGAACGCGCCAGGAAATTCTTCGTATACTGCTGCACCACCTGAGCTCTAACTCCAGCACTTGATAAATTATGCATTGAACCACCCCTCGAACTGCTGTCTTAGTACGGCTTGTACACTTACATCACAATCTCTGTCTCAGCAAATCTTACATGTCTCTGTCCCTCCAATCCGCAACCACCTGACACCTCTCCTTCTAGTCGCCATGTTTTCCGTCATCATCCCCGGCCGACCCTGCCTGACGGACATCGTCGCCGTCGACGGCCAACCCAACGGCCAACCCACCAAATTCGCCTTCACCTTCCCGCAGACGCCCGCCTTCGACGAGCTGGTCGTCTTCTTCCTCCCCGGTACCGTGCTACCCCCGGACACCGCCGCCGCCCTCTACCTCCAATTCCCGGAATCGACCGCCGCTGCCCCGCAGTTCCGCTTCATCGGCGCCTTAGCCAACGAACGGCCCTCCGCCGTCTTCAAAGTCCACCCGCCTTCCCCGGAAACGGCGTCCTCGCTGTCGTCCGCGATGGTCACGCTGGGGATCTCGATCGAGCCCGTGCAGGCCGTCGCGCCGCAGCTCGCCGCGCTGGAGGCAGAAGGGAACAACAACAACCCGGGGTCATCGATGGCGCTGACGACCGCCGCGCGACCCCCGATCAGCACGAAGGTCCTGGCACAGCGGATCATCGGGAATGCGTTCAATTTCCTGGCCAGCTTTGCCTCGTCGGATAAGGGCCAGGATGTGGTGCCGCTGAAGAGCTTTCAGGATTGGTGGAAGAAGTTTGAGAGAAGGGTGGATATGGATCCGTCGTTTTTGGAGCGGGAGGATCCCACGGCGACGGGGTGAGCAGCACAGCATTGGGGTGGGGGTTTGTGGACTTCCGACAACGGGAATGAATCTTAGGGGCATTTGCGCGCGGGTTGAGGGGGTTTTGTGTATGCGCTTGATACCACGCTTTGTGTGTTGCAATGATACCATTTTACCTGTTTTTTTTTCAGGGTTGAAAACTCAATAGGAAGCATTTCGGCTATTTTGAGTCGGTCTATAGAAACTGTCTATTGGATCTATGTATCGCAGGTCCACCACGCCCGCATTCGAGTCTAAATAGGGCGGAGCGTCAATCTAACCGGCTAAGTCGAGGTATAACTATCTAGACTCAAGCACGAGCTTCAAAAAAGCCACCGTGATCGCCACCCCATCATGCGGTAGTCCCGCCCGGCTGGACGCATCCTGCGACATCTCCGGCGAGAACAGCCCACTCGCCGTGCGCAGCGTGATCAGTTCGTCCATGATATCCTCCCGGAACTCCGGGTGGCCCTGCACCGTGATCAGTTTCCGCGGCACATACATGCCCTGCACCGCGCACCGCGGCGAGGCGCCCAGCGAGATCACTTCGGATGGATATCCGTAGGCGATGTCTTGATGCATTTGGTGGATGCGCTAGTAGTCCACATTAGTAAAATATGAACTAAACCCACCCTGTGGGGGTGGAATATTGGGGATTGACGCGCAAAAGGCTTCAAACTTACCAATTTCTCCTTGCCGAAGAGCTCCCGCCCCTGCTCGGAGAGATCCACCTCGCAGACGGCCAACTCCCAGCCCTGCGGGTTCCGGCCAACCTTGACCCCCAGGGCGCGGGCGAGGATCTGGTGCCCGAAGCAGATGGCGAAGATCTTGATGCGCTTGTCTTCGTAGGCCTTCCGCGTGAAGTCTACTAGCTTGAGGATCCAGGGGTGGTCGGCGAAGGAGTCGTGTTCTGTGGATGGGTAAATGCCGGGGTTTGAGTGTGAGTCATCTGGATTTTTGCAAAGGCCGGGAGGGGTTGTTGTTGTAAGGTGCATGGTGCATGTTTGTCCCGTGTAGGATATAAATGCAGGGCAGGGGGCGCAGTATGCGAGAACAAAAAGTCCGGGTGAAAAGCAAGGCAGGCAAGGCAGGCAATGCAGAAGAAACTCACTTGAGCCACTCAGAACGAGAGCATCTACATCGTCCAGGTTGGGATACTCCTGGGCCGTCACGACGTCCCAGCCGGTAATGTCTAGCCCGGTCTCGGGGCCCAGTCGGTCGGGCTGGCCGAGTGCGGCGGCGCTCTCATGCAGTAACTTCGCGAAGACCCCGCGGTAGCCCCCGTACTTGGTGTTTACTTTGTCGACGGGGGTGTCGCATTCTAGGATGGCGATGCGGAGTGGTGGGTGCATTGTTGATGGGATTGATGGAGTAGTTCGATGGTCTGAAGATTGCAAGATGCAGTACTGGCGATGAAATGAGTTTGAAGCACAGTCTGAAAGAAGAGTGTCTGGGATGAATCGAGTGAAGATTGAACGCTGATATAGTTATCGGGGAAGTAGATGATTGCGGGGTGTTCTATGGAGACGAAGCAGTCTACCGAATCCGCCACCGCCTAGCTGTTCTGGCCGCGGATAAGCTTCCCCTACGGAAGGATATTTCCCCTCCCCTCTTATCAGTGTGGGGCCTTGGTCTCCTCTATACTGACGAAAATGATATCGCATACAGCTTCTGATTCTGAGTTGGATCATGACGGTAAATACCTCACAAGTAGAACTATACACGAAGACTGCACGAACCCGGAGAAACCATAACTTGGGTTTCGCAAAGGCTAGTACTCCAAGCCAAGCACGTGACCCCCAACAGTGCTCTGTGGCGCAATGGACTGCACCTCAAAGAAAAAGCAGCATATTGCCCCTCACAATGCCATATTCGTCCTTGTCAACTGTTGTGAAGAGTCAAAGAGTTAGTTTTTTTGCTGTAGGATGAAGACGAGTTATCTGCCCTATCTATATTTGCTGTATATCCTTGTTGACATGTCGTTCACTAGAACCCCTTATGCCTGCTTGGTGACTAACATGCGGACAAGCCACTGGAGGGTATGCATTGCAACTAATTCTATCGATGGCGCAACCCCCACAGTGGTCAGCAAGGTTGTATTATGGAGATCTTGAAAGGTAACACAGAGATCGTCATCGGAACATTTGCGGCACATGAGTTTCTGGGCAGGGGGACGTCCAACAATAGGCGTCTCTCGCAGTCTATGTACATGACAGAAACACCTAAAGCTTCAGAGTTTATCTTGCTACATGAGACCGGGCTGATAGTCTGTTGAGTATGCGCTGTTTGTGCGATGCTCTAATGATGATTTCACATCATAAGCTTGAACGTAGACAGAACACTACAGTCCAGCACTGTCCAGGGCTTGATCTCAATCCTCTTGTATGACCCGAGTGCCCATATTATACTCTCGGACAGAGGTTGACCGATCTGCTGTAGCAAGGGTCTCCCTGCATCGGTACGTGAGTGAGGGCCAATCTCAGATTCAATGTGAGATATTTTTTGTAGAGGTAAAGCGTAAATACAAGCTGACCCAGACACACAGTACAGTACAGTCAAATCATGCACCCTACTCCGATATATCAATACTAGCTGACTGAACCACGGTCAACTCGTTGATATCGGAATTGGGGGGTCTGGGATGTGGGCTGTAATACCCACAGTTCCTCGCATTCCATTGTCCAGAAAGATTAAAGCTGAGGTCTAGGCATGGTATTCTGAAACGCTAATGGTCTGTTGACGGAAATCCGTAGGACTCCATCATAAGTCTAGGGATTACGGTTCGCAATATACTGGGCTACAGATGTCCTGTTAGTCTGATTTTAAATTGTTTTGGTACATAGCTAGCAAATGTTCCGGATGCTCTGGTTATTTCTTGGCCCTATCAGTCCCTCTTTGGTTGCACGATAGCCTAGGATGAACTATACGGCCTAGGCTCTCTCATGCCTTCCCTTATTCAAGGCTGGTATTCCTGCTTCCCCATTCTCACAAATCCCTATACCTACAGTTGACATACACGTCAGCTCCCACATTATCTAACTTCAATGCCTTGACAACTCATTTTACAACAAACATACGGCAGGAGAACATCACTGAGGCCGATTGAATATCGGTTCCACTGGAAAATGAACATCCTAATTATCGGAGCTGTTTTTCTCAGCACCCTACTCAGATCTTGTCTTGCACAATCTGCTCGCAACCCCGATCTCTGTGTATGTCTTCGCAACCATCTTACCAAGCTGATAGCTCAACTCATTAACTGCTTCGGCTACCCTATAGTGTGCAGCTCTCAACACCAGCACAATTGGCAGCAGAGTAGCCTTCCCCGGTAGTGTTGCATACGAACAGTCCCTCTCTTCCTACTACTCCCTCAACGCCCGGCTACATCCCACCTGCATTGTTCAACCTCTTTCAGCACAGGATGTTTCCGTCGCTGTTCGAACACTGGCTACGTCGACTGCGGCACCGTGTTTGTTCGCCGTTCGCAGTGGCGGCCACACGCCAACCGCTGGCGCGGCCAACATCGAGCCCGGAGTTACTATTGATCTCTCGCTCATGAATCGTACTACATATGACCCAAGTACAGGCACGGCTTCAATTCAAACCGGAGTCCACTGGGGTTCAGTGTACGACACTTTGCTGAAAAGTAACGTTACGATTGCGGGTGGCCGTGTAGCGCCCATCGGAGTCGGGGGCTTCCTGACCGGCGGGGGGCTTTCGTTCTACAATGCGCGTGTTGGTCTCAGCTGTGACAATGTTCAAGGCTTTGAGGTGGTCATGGCGAGCAGCGAGATTGTCTATGCCAATCGGAACTCACATCCCGACCTTTTCAAGGCCCTGAAGGGGGGCTCCAATAACTTTGATATTGTGACCACGTTTGACATGGCAACCTTGCCTGCGGCAGATCTGTGGGGTGGCCTTCTTGTGTACAATATCTCCAACACTCCGGAGTATATCTCTGCAGCGACAGATTTCACCGATAAAATCCCCACCGACCCTCATGGTGCGTGGTATGGCATCTTCAACTACAATGGCACAATGGATCGGACTGATATTGTTGCTATGTTGGCTTATAGAAGACCCGTGATGCGGCCTGCGGTATTTCAGAAATTCTATCAGATTCCTAATATCACGGATACAACTCGGATATCGACGATTGTGGACCAGACCAGATATGCTTATATACCTTACCGGGGAGGCTCCTCTATTCCCACAGGCACTGTCATCAAAGCTCAGCCGTTAACCCATATCTACCTAGCATCGACGGCCAGACTAGCACCTATCTTAACAGAGCCGACATCATTCATCAAGCCGTCCAAGTCTTCTTCAAGCAAATCCGCAGAGCAAAATCTCGAGCCCGAAGTAAGGATTTTGGCATTATCTTAGTAGTGCAACCCTGGGTTCCTCTTTTCTGGAAGGAGAGCGAGGCGCGAGGAGGGAACGTGCTTGGTTTGGAACGATTCAATAAAAATATGCTCAGTGAGTTATACTGCCTTCTTCCTCCCATCATCCATTTTCGCTCCTGTCATACCATGTTGCGCATCCTGATCGTGCATTCACGAATGCAAAGATATCATCATCAGTTACTCATGGAGCGACGAGGCGGATGACAACCTGTTCCATCATCTCGCTGAATCCGGCCGGGCAAAGCTAGACACATGCGCTTGGCTGACCGGTGCATATAATGAGTACATCTACCTGAACTATGCTGGAGGCGCCCAGGACCCTCTTCGTGGGTATGGACCGGATAATGTGAGATTCATGCAAGAGGTCGCCAGGAAGTATGATCCCGAGGGAGTATTTCAGCATCAGGTCCCGGGCGGCTTCAAGCCCTCCCGAACTCACGGGTTTGATTGATTGGGGGTCCCTGGGGTTAGAAATTACTCAAAGGGGTCGAGTGTCGCGTGACCATTATATGGCGGGCGCGGGAGGGCGCTCTTGAGAACAGCTTGTATAGACCGAGAGTTGCATACATGCACTTGATTACCTACAGCTGCAACGATAGCACTTGTGATTCGCCTCTGTGTCGTAATTTGTACCTCTGCGACCGCTAAAGCATGAAACCACTTATTATACATGGTCTACGGGCCAATACCATTTATCTGTAAGTTGTTCACCTAAATTTGAAAAGATTGAGAAAAGAATTCAAGCTTGCGCTGCAGGTGAAAACTTAAACATCTCATGGAACAAGCTGGCTGATATGCAGGTCGCCCAGAGCAGCGGAGTTGGGGTTTTGCTTTTGTTGCTGTGCTACAATGAGGTTCATGCAGGCGGGATTTTCCCAGCAACATGAGTTAGGCATTTGCCCGTGTGCGCGTCACACGCCGGATCGAGCTTTGAGCTCTTTTTCTATATATTCATATTGCAAGGTTGCCCCAGATTGATCGGATATATTAAGCTGATACTGAGCATTATAACATGGCTGATTCGTGTAAGCGGTTACCCTGAGAAACAGATGGGAAGGGGTAATTGGACCTTGACAAAGCTACACCTTGCACAGCTGGACCTCACTCAGCAGCAGAATGGGCGCGTGTTGACCCAGCGATCCTTGAGGTTCAGACTTCTGATTCTATGAGAGATGAGAGCCGAGATAACCAGGCTCAAAACTAAAAGTACCGGCAATGGCAGCGGAGCCCCAGCGACTAAGCCCAACCCGGGTTAACGCGCGATGCAACATCTGGGTCGGATGACTCCATCTCCAACAAATCATACTTCAGTTGCATCGACCGACATCGGGTCTCACCTATGACCATGCATCTAACTCACTGCATACTACACTCGGCACATTATTGCACACTGCATCCTGTCTGCACGAGGCATTTAATGCTCTACCACCGGATATCCTGATTATAGCAAAGACACTGCTAACCACTAACCCGGTAGGTAGGTGAGCTGCAACTTGCAAGGCCAAAAAAATTCGATCCAGCGGCAGCTGGTGGAGCTCTTCCGAGGCCCCCTTCCTTTTCCCCTCTTTTTCTTGTCCGAGATTGAGGTTGGAGGCCGAGTCATAGTCATTAGACTAGACTATCTCGACTATCGACCGAGTATTCCTCCGTATGCAGTCATATTTGTGGGCTAGAGCGCTTCCACCCGTCGACTCACTCAGCCTTCACCACCCGCCCCGTGCACTACGATGGATCCCACCTGCGCCGTGCATCCTTAGCTTCTTTTCTCTCCCCCCCACCCGCTAGAAATCTCTCTCCTTCTATAAATCTCATTGTTATCGGACCCTATGATTCAAGACTGCTTTGCAACCCTTGTCTGGCTGCCGTTTCTCGTTTTTTTCTTTGCACAAAAAAAGTTTTCTTCTGGGCTGTTTCTGCTTCCATGAAAAGTTTTCAGCTATCTCGTTTTTGAAAGTTCTTTGGGCATAAAAGATTAGATTCATATACACACACCGTCTCCTGGTGATCATGACTGTCTCCCGTGTGGCCTCTGATGCCACTGAGTCAACACCACTTTTGAATGGCTCACCATCTCAGCCAAT